TTTTTGTATAACTCAAAATACTTATAACTCGCTTCAAAATTAAAATATAGTATTAAGTTCAAGAGGTCGTCTAAATTATATTCTTAAAATTTTACAAGAGGTCAATTCATTCTAATTTTTTAACTAAAAGAGCTAAATATGATCTGCTAAGCATAAATGTGGTATGTTACGTATTTGTAAGATGAAGATAACACATACAGATATCACATCCTCTTAAATAATTATTAAAAATTATAAAAAATGTATGTGCACAAACATGAAATATTKATTAATTCTACATTCTAATTAAATATATTKGAAAACCGTTCTGATGTATAAAGTACAACTTCCTCCTGCTTGTGTAATACATGGTAACATGCCTACATAAAGGTTAATAAACATCATGTATCATGTTTTAAATAGAAATGATTTAAAGATTTCAAGGCATAACTGAAATTTGTCTTAAGACTAATTTTCAAACCAAACAAGCCTTAAAATTTAATTATACACTACAAAATATAAAAGTAAAATTATTTGTATTCATTTATTTTTAAGTATGAAGTTTCAAGAGTTAAGTTTGTATTCTTTTATTCTCTAGTTTTGTCATATATAACCAACAATTTTTAAAAAAACGTGTATGTTATAGTTATTAATAAGCATAAAAAATGATAATAATATTAGTAAGTTTAAGAGGTTTTTTTTATATTTATCTTTTGTTTTAGTTTTAAGCGTTGCATCATTTTTGGATAACCAATCACATAGAAGTGATCCCAATGCACCACAGACATTCCCATCTGACATAACTGATCAATTTACCACATCAGAACAAGAAAATTGGTAAATCACATTTCATTAATTTTTTTCTTAACTAAGTCATCTGTAATTCTTCAATTACACATGTTTGTGACCGCTGGCGTCCATAGTTGATSATTACCATCATGTCATGTTRCTGCCATCAACCTCATATTAATTTCGTTCTATATTATTAACTTTCCATGGGGCTACAATAATGCACTAAAATAAAGTGCAGTGGTGTTGAAGGAATCAATAAAACAATATTGATATACTACATTTCTTTTTCAAATAAAACATATACAAATGAGGAATGTAACTTAAGAATATGATTGCCATATCAATGATACAATACATATRTGTAACCACCGCCAGTTAACACCCGCAATTAATATGTTCAAGAATTTATGTTTAACAAAAATTGGAATAAATAATATATTTGTAGGTTCATAATATGTAATATTTTCTTTAAGGTGGAAATCAATGTACAAAATTTATTCAAAAAATGTTGATGTAAAATATGTGTCACAACTAAGAAAAGCCGCTATTCAAGGATTAGAGTCTATTCGATTAATTGGAAATCATGGAATTGATGTTCAGTTAATGGTGTATTTGGCAAAAAACTTTGCTAGTCAGGTATTGCATTTTATATGTCATAATTTATAATTCATAGCTTGTTTATAATTATGGTATTGGTATTGGTATTGAGTCAGGTATTGCATTTTATATGTCATAATTTATAATTCATAGCTTGTTTATAATTATATGGTTGTTTGTTTTAGATAATTGTACCTAAATGTTTTTTCTCAATCATTAATCCTTTTAAATTTAAAAAAAACACAAATTATTTTATTTAAATGTACTCTCAATTGCACAAACAAATATACTAATTTAATGGGCCRCTTATCATATTTAATGAATCTCTAACTCACTATTGATTAGTGAAATTTTTAACCCGTCACCGGTCCGCGCGGGGTAAATAATCTCCAAGTTTATTTATAAGTACGTGTTTTTCTGTAATTATCTGTAATATAGTTTCGTAATTACGATTAGCTTATCAAAATCACATCATAATTCGATAATGACATTTACTTCATCGAAAACTATTTTAGKTTGTTCGGTGCATGCGAGTCGAGAACTAAAGCCTATATGTAGAGATCACTTGATAGAAATTTGCCCAGATTGTTTTACATTATAATAGTATTGTATTACCTTACAGTTTTTATTATTTTTTAATTTTTATTCATAAAACTAAAGACCCATATGCAATTCAAATTKTATAATTATTTATGTATATTAATTATAAKTATTGTTAGTTATAAAGTACCAACTTAAAGTAATATTTTAAGTATATTTCATATTATGGAAAATTTTTACCCCGCGCGACCAAAAATAAAAAATAAATTACGCGACCAGTGACGGGTTAATGATTGTTTACAAATTTGGCATTTAAAGTTACAACAAAAATTGATTACTAAGAGGTTATCAGTACAATTTTTATTTTCTTTCTCGGTCTGAACATGGATAGTTTGATTTCACCTAAAATAATTTTTATGATTTTTGAGTAATCTCAGAGTTAATCACTTATTACAAAAGTTATAGATGCTAATGTTTATAAGGCTATGACTTATTTGTTTTATTTTTATATTGTTTTCAAATAAAAAAAATAGTTTTTAAACCTATTTTGAGACATTATTTAGGTAAACTGGTTAATCATGCCTTCAAAAATATTATTCTTTATTGTTTTTACTATGGTAATTTTACTCATACTAAGATAACTCATAAAATATTGCTGCAAAAAAATTTTKTGTGTGTTGTGTGTTGGCCTGAAAGAGAAAAAAACAGTGATGCATCCACTTAGATTTTATTTTTCRGGGTTTTTGTTATAATTAGAGTTCGGATTTATATGCATTTGCAGTTTGTGTGCATGTGTCATATTTGTTCATAAATTGCATATTTAATGGTTTTTTAATAAATTAACTATTAATTAACGTACACACATCCTGGCATGCCACATTGTTATATTTATAAATCATATTTAGTTAAGTTCCAATACACCGGCTGTCGGAAATTCTAGGTCACTTGTTGACCAGTGATAATAGCTACCTCACCCAACACGGTGACTATTAATTATTACGCGGTCATCAACCATAATTTGTACATCAATGTGTTTAGCCTGTTTGAAAAAATTAAATTATGTTATGAAAATTATTAATAGAAGCTATTTTAAGTGTTACTCTGACAAGTTTTAAAATGTATATTATAAATRTTAATAACATTTATATTTTTTTGAAGTAAAACTTCTTTCTTAAGGTATGAATGGAGAAAAAAATGAAACGGTGTATGAATGCGTGTGTATGACTGTGACAGAAATCGCTTGAATGGTTAAAAGTTATATGTCCGAGTGTGAAAGCGCGTCATTTATGATTTAAATCTCACTTATGATTTAACGGACCTAATATTTATGAAAGGAGTTTTACTTCCCCAGAGTGTAACTCACATAATCTCATTTTTTTTTTGTTATGTTTTCCATTACCCAACAACGACTGAAAAGAAAATGGTGAGGAGATAAAAAAAAGGAATAAATTAAAATTATATAAAATAAAATATTGTTAATAAACAAATAGGTAGTGCTTTCACTGAATGGTTTCTTTTCTCACTTTTTCATGTAAAACAAAATACATTATTTCACATATTCTTATTGTGCCCTAGGGTTAGGAGATTGTATATTTCTTGTTAAAATTAAAAAAAAAAAAGTTTTCCATTAGTTTTAGTTTGATTAAAATGATTTGAAATATACATCTATGGATATCATAATTATTTAGTTTTGATAAAATATTTAAAATTTCTTTGGTGTAAAATTAAGATTTTAAAAATAAAAACACATTTTATAAAGTGTATCTTAATGCATATAATCCTGTCCTTACCAATTTTTCTTTGCATATTTGACATTCTTTAAATGCATATAAATCCAGGCCCTGTTGAAATTAATGACGACCTATATTTATCTGAGTCAAAAAAGTTATAGTACTTATTTAGTCACTATTTCATATTTTGTGTGTAATAATAWACTTTTAATGTTGTTTCTGTAGGCCAACAAAATAATGGATAACTTTCTTCTAAAAGAGGGACTCGAAAAAAGAGCTTCTCTCTATTGGGGAATGGCTATACAGCTACTTGAACGAATTAATGAACGTGGAATTGAACATAAGTCAAAAAATACATTATTTGAATTTTACAGGTAGTTTGTTATTTATTTTTTGCTTTTATAAATTAACATAATAATTAATTCATATTTTAAAATTTAGAAAAAAATTGAATCCAGGAGAAGTATTTGAATTGTTGGAGGAAGGTAAATTTTATTTAGCTTGTCAGTTAATGAACAAAGAACAAAATGAAGAAGCAATAGAAGCATTCAAAAACATTAATTCTCCATATGCATCTTTTTACCAAGCAATGGTTAGTAAAAGTTAATATCTATTCTTCTTTAAGTGTGCAAATAAATTCCTATGTATTCCAGATATAACTACAATACTCATTTACTTTCAACATATATTTTTTGTAGACATTTWAAGTTCTTAATTGGTAAAAATATATAAGTTAATGAATTTAATATTTTAATAATTATTGAATAATATTTGTGATGTTTTTACAAAAACTAGTTAAACGTTAAACATATTGTATCATTAGGTGTTCAAAATATAAATTCCTTAATAGTTTGTAGGTGTAAATTGTCTCTTCTTTGAATCTTTTTTTTTTTTTAATTAATGGCCCATGATTTATTATTGATATTTGATATTAGATATTATATTAGATTTTACACATGCATTACAATGAATTACTCAATGACAATGCTTATATATTACGATAACATACTCAACTGTACACTACATGCATTACTTCTTATATGTAATACGTTTTTGGCCATATGTTACATGCATGTGGTGTTTTGATACCAATTTTTGCAAGAATCCTACTAAATAGTTATGTTTCTATTTWATTGACATGCGTATAAAACTATAAGAACAAACCAAATAAAATTCTGGATTGAACAGTTTTCCTCTTTATTATTCAGAGTCTACCCTTAACAGTTTACACTATACAATCAAAACTTCTGTAGATTATAGCTACTAATCTCTGTACCAYAAGAGATTGCTAATGGGCGGTGATTTAAATGTATTTATTTCCGTGTAGAGCCGCGGTAGTATACAATGAACGAATGCTTCATGTTGAAAGAAATTTGGCCTCGGAAAAATCATTTTGATGTGTGCGGCAGTCGCACTCTCGTGGCATGTAGTATTTTTCTTTTATATTTATATGTATAATTTTGTTGAAATTTAAACATTATCAATATATATTGACTCTATATTTTAACTATTTTGCAACTTGTACATTTATTTTATTGTTCATAAAATACTTTTTTTTTACTTTAATTATCTAGACTAAATTTATTTGTTTGATTTTTTGTTGTAATTTGAATTAAAAAAACATAATTTTTTGGAAAAATGTGTTATAGATTTATAAAAAAATGATAAAGTCTCCTTCATTTGACACTTCTGCTGATGATACATTATCAGATGTAAATAATATGTTTGCGGCAAAAGTCAAAGAGTTACTGAATATTACAAAAGATCGTTTGAAGAATAAACCTCATCATCCATTGCACTTACAATTAAAAGAAGAATTATTGGATTTAAAATTAGACATTGATATGAATGGGACACTTAATAGTCGTAAGTACTTATTTAAATAAATTAATTCATTACATTTTAAAAACTTATTTGCTTAGACAGTTAGACCTGATTATTAGGTCTATGCTTATTTGTATGTCCCACTACATATTGGGAATGATTCCATGTTATTTGTACTAAGCTCAATCCTAAAAAAAATATATGGTAACCTACTCTTTATAAAATATATATTTATCATATTAGTGGGGGCTTGGTTTTTAAGGGTATGTGATTGAAAAATCATTAAATTTAAATACGTTTTGGATTGTTCTGATTTCAATGATTTAAAATTAAAATTTTTTTTCTACAAAATGTGCTTTTTATCTTATTTCCCATATAATTTTCGTGAAAATTAAACATAATTCAATGTTTATCATTTATTAAATATATATAATTGTTGCTAGAAATTGTAGAATCAGTAATAAATG